AAAAAAAAAAGGATAGGCAGTTCCTAATTTCATTAATTTATTCTTTATCATGAAACATCAACACTTCTGGGTACTTTGAGAGTTTTTATGTGTGGTGGGGGCAATGGGCAGATGGGGAAGAGGGCTCAACAGGGACTAACAGTGGCAGGCGCCGACAGTTTGAATTTTGTGTCCAACTGAACGTCACCTCTCCAGACCCGACAGCCTAGTAGTTCCACACAAGGTAAATCTTTAACATTTTTATTGATAATATTTTGAGGGGATAACATCCAAAGGACACAAATCCAGGTGGAAAAAGACAACAAGACTGTGATACAGTGAAGACGGGGTAGTAACATTACATTGTCCTGGAGCTTTATAGAACTAAAGGCCACCAAGGTTATGGCCAATTTTCATGTTTATTATAGCGACCTGTTATATGTGTAACTAGATGAAGCTTCAAGCATTAAAAAGGCACATTGGGAAAAGCTCACTTCATAATAGTACTCTCAGGTAGAAGATACTAGACATACATTTTACTTATAGGTAGTGTGGATGTCTACATTAAACAGAAGCATTGACCCTGGTGATGCAACTTCCTTTCATTTTCTCATTCATTTTCTTCGGAGGGTTCATTTTTCTGAATCAGCCACACTTCATTATTTTTATTAAGCGAGTTGAGAGGACTGTTGTAGCCTGCAGTGTAGTAAACCTTTTCATCGAAAACTTTTCCTTCTTCCCTCAAAATACTTGCTAACGTCAGAAGCTGTTCTTGATTCTTTTGGGCACTAGAGAATCCTTCGTAAGACCTGCAGAGGAAAAAGCACATAACCATGAATGATTTTTAATGCTGAGGCGAATGTCAGTCTGAAGAGACAAGCGGGAGCTGATACAATGAAGCTGGATACAGCGCACCGTCAGAGCTCCTCCCCGTGGGCCCCGAAGCAGCATTCTCTTCCTCTGGTTCCCAGTCTCAATGTGACTGCTGCATACTGAGGAGACCCAGGAGGAGGCAGACGACCCACCGGTTGGCAGGTAGATTTGGAATTTACATCATCTTGTGCTCTAACTCTGTGCTTCTCAAACTTCAATGTATGTGTGAGTCACCTGGGAATCTTGGTAATGTGCAGATTCAGGAGGTCTGGGGTGGAGCCTGAGAGCCTGTATTTCTAACAATGTAACACTGATGCTGCTGGTCAGAGGACCACACTGACATCCCCTCCCTTCCAGACTTTGAGTTTTCTATGGAACACTTGCCCTTTCTTCCTCTCCTTGGGAAGGGTGTAGGCACTCATTTACAGATGAATATGATATAGTTTGACCCTATGAATTTAGAGTCTGAAATAAGAGACAAACATTTCGGCCACGCTCTCTATGGAGCCTGAGAAGAGATTTAACAGAGATCAAAGAATCAAAATGTTTAGGAACACTGAGGATTTGATTAAATCGAGGTAAGGGGTGTCCTCTGAGTTGGGTCTGGGATGGAAGGTGGTTTTGCTGTGCAGAGAAAGGGGAAGGATAAGAAAAAGTCCAAATAGGTGAAGCATTTTCACAGTGAGGCACAAAATGAACTCAGGAAGGTGAGTCAGAACCAGAAGGAAGAACCTTATATATCACCCAAAGGCCTTTTCAGAGTCTCAGAATATCTCAAAAGGATGCTGGGCAGAAAAGGACTTGATCAGATCTGGGTGAGACAGATGGAAAATAGATTAGAAAGAAGGATCTAGGTAGGATGTTTCCTATGGGATGGAGAAGAAAAGACAATCAAAAGATTTAAGTTAAAAGTGGGTAAAGAGAAGAGGAAGGGATTAGATAGCATAGACTATGGGGGAAAGAGACCTGGGTTGGTGACGATTAGCACATTCCTGTGCATCTCCAAGGCTGGTGACACATGGACAGCATAAATAGGTAACTACAATATTGCCACAGGGACATGAAAGACAGTTCAGGGAATAAATAACGTAAATATTTTGTAGGGTGTCAGATGGTCACATGTCTTATTAGGGATACCATTTCATGGATGGGGTAGAGGCTTGATCACTGCACTGTACACCTGAAGCTGATGTTGAATAATACTGTGTATCAACTGTAANTGGATGAGCAAAAGGCTTTATATCCAGTTAGGTACAGGTGGCATGCAATGGTTGATTTATGTAGGGTAGGGAGGGAGTTCTCTGGGGTCCTTGCTAGGTGAACAGCAATGCTGGTGGGTGCTCAACCAGCATCACTCAGCAAAGCCCATGCCTGAGATCCGGTCCTTGGATGATAACAATGTAGGAAGAACTATAGTGTTGCTACTATTTTTCCAGATTCAATTTGCCCTAATGATTAACATGCATGGATTGATTTTTTTTTCTTCTGTACGCTTTGGGTAAGTTCTTGGCTTCATGATTTTTTTTTTTTAAGCTTCTGTTCTTTCTTAGGCAACTTGAAATCTGTTATCTATACTTAGGTATTTTCTTGTCTACTTCCATTCCCGTCTCTATTTGGCCTTCCTTGTGCTTTAAAAGAAATAAGAAAAGGAAAGGAAAAAAAAAATACTACTCTCTGTTTAGTTGTAAAACTCAAAGAAATGAATAACTCTAATTTGAGGAAATGTTCACTGGATCAGCTCCTGTTGCTTTTTTCCTACCAGAACACAACAGATTGCTATTGAATTTTGAATGTCACTGACAGACAGATGATAATGGCTTGAGATGGATAATGAAATGCTTGAAACACAGATGGGCCTGTAAATCATTTTTCTTTTTCTTAGGATTTCCTTCTGACATAAAATTAATGTAATTAACACTGTTTTGCACTAATATCCCTCATACATGATATCTGTGTAGCCCCATTGTTGAACTACCACCTTCACCTGTCTTTGGGAAAGACAGTCCCTGCCTGGCAGGTGCTCTGTGCAGTCACCTGGTGGATGTCAGTCCACCTTGAAATCTTGACTGAAAGGAGGTTATTTGAAAAGGAAACTTTCAACAGAGCAGCCAGCCTTGATCTCAAAGGTGGTACCTGAGAATTCCATATGCCGCACTGAATCCCATAGGAGGACTGGAAGACAAATTAAGAGAAGTACATGAAATTCATAACAAGGGTTTTTATTTTAGGAGCTGTCAGTAACGATTTAAACTCTCACTTAGGTGCCTGCAGAAGAAAAGAAATGTAGATCAAATAGAAAAGTTTTTGTTTTGTTTTGATTTTTTTCTTGAAGCCTAGCAGAGTCTGAAGAAGGTGAGGGTACAGGTAATGAACTAAGATACTGATTTTTATTTGTAGGTAACAAGCTCTTTCTGCTTTATCTCCAGCATCAGGCCCTGGCCAAGATGATGTTGGTGGTCACTTAGCGTACACCGCAGACCACTACTCGACGCTAGGAAGGCTTGACAGCTATCGGTCTGCTGGGCAGCGCTCAGAAACCAGGGACTCCAGCTGTCAGACTGAGGAAGTGAAAGTCGTACCACCTTCAATGAGAAGAATCAGGGCACAGAAGGGGCAAGGCATTGCTGCCCAGATGAGCCACTTCTCAGGCTCCTCTGGGAACATGTCTGTGCTGAGCGACTCAGCGGGCATTGTGTTTCCTTCTCGCCTCAACAATGATGCCGGTTTCCACAGTCTTCCGCGTTCTGGAGTGAGGGCCAACATTCAGTCCCTTGAGCCACGGCTGGGTGCCTTGGGCCCCGCAGAAGACCTGGATGGCACTTTCCCCTACCAGAGGGGGAACCCACAAGTAGATGAAAACTTAGGACAATTTGGAGGTGCTTCAAGGACTGGAACACTTTTGAGGCCCCAGTCTCAGGAGCTGAGGCACTTTGAGAGTGAAAACGGAACCAGCCCAGCACGTGTGGTGTCTCCTCACGCGGCCTACTCCACCAGCATCATCCCAAATGCCACCCTGTCCGCCTCCTCAGAGGTGATTGTTATTCACACTGCTCAGAGTTCAGGGCAGCTGGACAGTAAAATTACCAGCTCTAATTCATACACAAAGATAAGATCCAGGGACCGCCTCCTCTCCAGGCATGCAGGTAGAGATGAGCATCCGTCTCCCAGTGGTAACTGGAACGAGGGTCCCTGCGCCATGGCTTCGCAAGCCTTAGGTCCCCATTCCCCCAGCGCAGCCACACTGTTGTCCCTGTGCGATTCAGCCGTCTCTCTCAATAACCCAGCAAATCGCGAGACTGGGTCCCAAGCTATGGCCTACAGCAGTAGAAACAACCTGAGCTTCCCAGCCCACCCCCAGGATGTGGATGGCAAGAGTGAGTCCAGTTATTCAGGAGGTAGGGGCCATGGCAGCGCAGAGGCCTGGGAATACCATGTGCCAGGTAGTGGGCGGGCATCCCCCCTGAAACCCCATTTGGCAACTCCTGGGTACTCCACTCCTGTGAGTAACACGAGCAGTGGCAGTTTAGACCAAACGTCCAGCAAAGACGATGCCAGGTCCTTGTATTCAGAGGACCGTGATGGCCGCTACCCATCTGTGCACCCGGACTCTGGACACGGATCCGGGAACCTGTGTAGTAGCAGCAATGGCTTTGGGAACCCCAGGCACAGCGTGATCAATGTCTTTGATGGAAGAGCTCAGAAGAACCAAGGAGAGCGGTCCAATTACTGTGACAAATCCCTTTCGAGAAACATCTCTTTGAAGAAAGCAAAGAAGCCTCCTCTGCCCCCTTCTAGGACGGACTCTCTGCGCAGGGTCCCCAAAAAGAACGCCCAGACAAACGGGCAGGTGCTAAACGAGAGCCTGATCGCCTCGCTCCAGCACTCCCTGCAGCTGAACCTCCCCGGCAAGGGCAGCCTCTCGCCCTCGCAGAGCCCCTGCAGTGACTTGGAAGAGCCCTGGCTGCCTCGCTCCCGCAGCCAGAGCACAGTGAGCGCGGGCAGCAGCATGACTTCCGCCACCACCCCCAACGTCTACTCCCTGTGCGGGGTCACCCCGTCGCAGAGCGACACGAGCAGTGTCAAGTCCGAGTACACAGACCCCTGGGGTTACTACATTGACTACACGGGCCTGCAAGAAGACCCGGGGAACCCTGGCGGGGGCTGTTTAGCCAACAGTGGGGCGCCAACTGGAAATGGGCCAGTCCGCCATGCCCAAGAAGGGTCCAGGGCCACCATGCCCCAAGTGCCCGGCGGCTCAGTCAAACCAAAGATCACCTCCCCGGAGAAGTCGCACAGAGTCACTTCTCCATCCAGTGGGTATTCCAGCCAATCGAATACACCCACAGCGCTCACCCCCGTGCCTGTGTTTTTAAAATCAATGTCACCAGCAAATGGGAAGGNAAAAGTTATTAGAAAAAAAAAGTGGGCAGAGGATAAAAGTTTAAGCATAGATTTTAAAGTATATAAATAAAAATATCCTGAGATTAAATTATGACAGGACACAGACTTAGCTGAGTTGCCAACATGTAAACATGATGGATTTGATGTTGAAGGTTAAGAATAAGAAACACAGAAACAAAAATATTCCTAATATGCTTTCTTTAGCATAAGTTTTAGTACAATGTGCCAATAGGAAAAGTCAGTCCTTTCCTTCTTCAGATAAGATATAAGCTCTCAAGAGTACAAACCATGTCTATTTTATTCAACATAGTCTGTCAGGTACTTAGAATCCATTCTTGGATTTAAAAGTTTCTTTTAAATCCTTGCTGAATAAATGTAGGAATCTATGTGCACACATGTATATAAAATATAACATTGAAGACGAAGTGATAAAACAGTTTTATAATGTTCAGCATGTTGACTGATAATGATAATTCTGAACCATGTGTTAAGAAATATTTGTCTCCCAAATTTATTATTTATTTCTTTAATAACAGCCAGCTCTTGGTATGTTCTGCCCAAAGGGAATTTGTTTTCAGATTCCACTTCTTCCTTGAAATCAAATCTTGAAGCCCCTAATTAGAAATCATCTTTTGTTCTCTGAATACATATTGTTCTACAACAATCTATTCACGGCTTTATTCAATACACAAACACACTGGGCCTCCCCACACACACCTGCCTTGCTTGGAGCTGAAGGATATGGACAGAGTAATATGTTGCTGTATTCTTGAGGAAGCAACAGTCTATAATAGGTGATTATAATTTAGAATAACAGAAGAACAGAGTGGCTAGCTGACTGGAGAAATCATGGAAGGCATCACAGATGAAGTGCTATTCCATCTAAGTCCTAAAGGATGAAAGTGGGCTCTCCAAAAAGAGAAGAAAGAAGAAGCTACAACTAGTCATAATATGTTCATGTTCTAAGTATTTTATGCACATAAACTCATGTAATCTTCATGGCAACCCTATGAGATAAGTAGGTACTACGATTACACACGTTTTCCAAATAAAGAGATTTTGGCAAGGAGAGTCTGAGTAACTTGACTGATGTCAAAGGTAAAGAGATTTGGAAGAATGTGGCCTGTTCAGCTAAGGGTGGGAAAGTCAATAGGGAAGACAGGGTCGGGCCACATTATAAAATGCATTGTGTACAATGTGAACTATCTGAACATCACCCTAAAGCAAGAGGAAACCAACTGAGATTTTTAAACGGAGTAACAGGTTGGCGGTTTTGTTGCTGATGATGTGTGCTGAGGACGGCCATGGAGGTCCCTGCTGGGGAGGCTTTTTGGTTGATGAGGCCCTTTCCTGAGACAGGCACTGTAATATCACTGCCCAGATAAAATTAGAATTGGGGGAAGGCTCATTTTTTAGAGCTGCTGTGTTTGATCTCCACCCCCAGCTCACATGGTAATGTCCAACAAATAGAGAAAACAGGCTGGAGACACTAAATGTGAGCGTCATTAGACAGGCATTTGAAACATTGTGAATAGATTGTCCAGAGCAAATCTGCTGTGTCACGAGGGTTGATAACAGGTATCAATGACAGTGATGCATGGGGTGGGGAGTGGATGAGGTGCCAGTGGCGGGGAGAGAAACGGGAGTAGAGGAACGACAAGCGAGTGACATTCTGAGAGTTACAGGAACAGTTTGGTCAACACACAAAGGCTGCAGGGGACACAGGAGAAAGGACTGCTATCATGTGACAAATGCAAGGGCACTACTGAGGGTGGCAGGAGCAGTTCCAAGGAGGTGGTGCAGGCTGGACTGGACTGGGGTGGTGTGAGGAGTACGTGAGAGTTGAGGAAGCAGAGACAGATTCCTCTAATAGGTGGGTGGTGACAAGAGGAAGAGAAAGGGAACAATAGAGGGACTCCAATATAAGACTATTATCATGTACCATGTGTGTTTTTAAAATTTCAACAGAGAGAATGTAACGTAAAGAATGAGTTAAACAGGTATTAGAAGTCTGAAAAAGTCCAAAGAAACCAGTAAACTAACAAGATGCAATAACTGCAGGAAACAGCAGGCATCCCTTGGGATGGGGAACAAATAGAAAGGTTTGGGTTATCAGAACCTAGAGGCTGGCAGGAGGGGTGCCATGCATTGCGTGTTAAGGTATTTTTTATTCCGGCTTAACTAGACGGCAGGTAAGGGCAGTCTTATGCTTTGGGGAGGGAGTGATTTCCACCGTGTCTGATTTGTGGAAAGCATGCAACAGACTGTGCATTAAATGAATTGATTATATCTTGCAACAGACCCTTGGTAACATATAAAGCTGAGCCAATAGGAAAATGCATTAGGCCTGCTGTTATGGAAGGGCGAAAAGCCTACTGAAATTGCATAGGAGCTAAACTGCAAGTGAAACTAGCAGTCAGCAGGGCTATAAATTATCTACCACTTACCGTACAAACACAGTCATTTCAGCTCTGTCTTCAATGAAGACATCTGACTCTGAAGGCCTGGGTGGATCAGATTGCTGCTCAGAGGGGATATACAGGGAAATGGTAATGGTAGACTCGCTAAAAGGGCCTGAACCCGGCTTCACGTAGCTCGTCACTGGAGCTGTCATCTTTATTTTCATCTCTGTGCCATAAAAATATATATTTAAATACAAAGGAGACCGTGAAAGTAGATGTAGGGTACTTATCACTACTACTTTTTAAACTTCACATATTATTTTGTGATCTGAGTTTCTTGATTTACTTTACTGGCATAAATATTTACCTTTAAGATAATTTTCATCTTTAAAAATAAGGCCCAAATGACTCAATTATCCACTGCCAACATTAAACACTTTCTGTACTATTAATAATTTTGGTTACTAAATTCTTTAGTTTTAGGGAAAGCAGGGAAAATTAGAGATCACATAGTCCAGGCCATTCTTCATTTTTACAATTAAGAAACTGAGGTACCCATTGGCTAAAGGACCTACTAAAATATAAATCGAGTCAGAACCAGAACCAGAAGTTATGTCTTGAGATTCTGGGTCTTGTGTGCTTTGTACCTTCCTGCCTCCTGATGTCTCTCACCCTACTGGATGACCTCAAAGCATTAGCCGTGAAAAGGACTTAACACTAGTTACAGAGGCCCAGTTCATCCAGCAGAAACACAGACAAGGAGAACAAAGGTTGAAAAGCACTACCAAGTACTACCCTCCTCTAGGCGCTGCTAAGGGTCCTGAGCAGAGTCCTTTTCTTCAAACATAAGTCTTTGATGAACTGGTTATTTTTCTATTTTAAAGGATATCTCTTTAATAAGCTGAAACTCAAGAATAAGCCAGCGGACTANGTTTAGTAGGTGAAATGTATTTTGATCATTCAGATATTTTATCCTCCGTTTTGATTACATAAGGTCCTATTTACAGCTTATTCCTATTAAAATAGAAGGTACATTGTTCACAACATACCCTCTTTGAATGTGTGTCAATATTGCAAAAGAGTGAATGTTTTTATACATTTCTTACAACATAAGACTGATGGAAGTATATAATTTGTGTGTACATATATATATATATATATATATATATATATATATATATATATATATATATATTTAAGTCTCTTTGAGGAGATACCCATGTGACAAGATCAGTGCTGTAAGACTTTCTTTAATTAAACGGGCAAGTAATTTAAAGCAAACCAATCAAAAGCTACTACTTTATTTTTTAATATTTTCCCATTGTGTGTCAATCACACAAGCTTGAAAGGAAGGAAGGAAGGAAGGAAGGAAGGAAGGAAGGAAGGAAGGAAGAAAGAAGTCCTATGGATGTGGCATTCTGGATATGATTTTAACATTACCTGAAATGTCTGGATTTAGATCAACTTTAAAAAGCAACTATGAAATAGAGAACTAGTTCAGCTTTAACAACGGCAGTGCTACTGGGTCTCATTGTAAGAAAAGTATTTTTATCATTATAAGGCTTTTTATTTTTCTTTAGTTGTATCTCACACCATAGCAATTTCTACAATGTATCCAAATTGTCGGTCTCCTTGAGTGAAAGAAAAAGCTCTTCATTCAAGAATTCTTGATTAAGTTATTTGTTTCATCACATAGGATGAGACATTATAATGGTCTCCAGCGTTAACTAAATGATTAAAATATATTTATTGCCATCATCACATACACACTGATTTAAAGAGTGATTTTGGCGACAGGAGGACCTATGTGAAACACTTCCAAAACGATCCATTTTGAAAATAATGCTGCAGAATCATTCTCCTGGTGTGTTATTAGTGAACGTGCATTTGCCACTCCAGCTCATCTGAAAATGAGGTCCAGGTGCCTCCTTTGGAAGGACACACACATAGAAATTGGAAAACGGCCTTATGATGATAATGTGCTTTCCTTCCTTTTTTTGCCCTTCAGTATTCATTCATCATCATATGACTGGCTAACATCATTATTAATACCTTCTTATCATTTTACAACAAGCTTCTGGAAGAAAGTGCATGGTGTCAGCTTGCTTGAAAATAACATTGCTTTGCTTGTTCTACTACTCTACATTAGGGGAGAATTTCGATCGCCAGGCCAGCCTTCGGCGGTCTCTAATTTACACAGACACTCTGGTAAGACGACCGAAGAAAGTCAAAAGGAGAAAGACTATTACAGGCGTCCCTGACAACATACAGAAGGAGCTAGGTATGGCTCATCAGAACTGTATTCTGTCGCCCCCGTTGCTGCTCAGCATTGCTACGCTAACCTCATGTGTGGTGCTTATGAAATCGATACATTCTGATAGCCGTTCGGTGCCCCAAAGGGCCAGCTTCTTTCCTGAAGGAGNACTTGGGGGTAGTGTTGAATTGACCTGGGTCCTAGTTATACAGGTATTGCTTTGGGAGGGTTCACTGACTTTTTATTCTTAAGTAAAGCTCTTTTAAATGCCTTATATTCATTGATAGTAGTTCAAGTGCTTGCAACTTCAAGAGCAGTTCCTGGATATTTATTCTGATTATAAACTATCATTTCCCAACAAAAGTCGATTACACTTTTTGTTTTGTTCCTGAGCACATTGTGTTTCTGCTGGGTTCTTGGACCTTCTTTGTCACAAAACCAGTTGCCATGGAAACCGGGTAAAGCCCATCATAAGATGTTTGCCAAAACAACTTTCTTGCTTACACTTTTTAAGATGTTATGGCAAGAAAGGTATTAAAGAAGTCTCCCCAGTTAGGATGTTAATCTATATCAACACAGACGCTACTAGAAATGTTTTCATAGAATTCTGATAAGGCTCAGAGCTTTAGTCAGCTTCTTATAATTTAACAATTTCACACTGATTTTTTCTTCCCACATAAATGGCTTCAGAGGAGCACAAATAGTTGAACAATAGCTCTATCATTTTTGAAATGCTCCTTGAGGTCAGAGTCTAAAGGAAATGAGATTGAGGCTAAAAATGACTTTGCGCAAAACTAAATTTTAATAAAAATGGAAACTGATGGTCACAGCCATGATGTTTCTCTGGGCTCCTAATGTTAAAGCAAATCCATAAGCGTTCTGACCACAGTAAACAGAAAGAATTTGAAAGATTCCGTGGGTCAGCAAAACCTTTTGCAGTTATGGTTTAGAGACTCAGGCCTCTACGAAACACATGTATTATGGGTCATGCTCAAGATGAGCAGTTTTCTTGCAAATCATTGCTTCTATTCCTAAATGTGTCTAGGTTTGTTTTTTGGGGTTTTTTTTGGGTTTTTTTGGTGGGGGGCAGCGGGTTGGGGGGGGGCTTGCTTCAAATCACTTTAAATTTAATGAAAGGAAGGGAGGGAAGGATGGAAGGAAGAAACGTATTTTTAAATGTTTGTCAGCTATTTACACACTATGCCTTCTTCCTTTCTCCCGCCTGCAGTGTTCCATCTCTTCGTCAGAAGAGGAAAGACTTATTTCCATCAGGAGATCTAAAACGCCAACCTCAAGTGACTTCTCTGACCTTAATACCCAAACAAACTGGACCAAGTCACTTCCCTTGCCAACACCGGAAGAGAAGATGCGACAGCAAGCCCAGACAGTCCAGGCTGATGTGGTGCCTATTAACATAACCGGTATGCTTTGCTATGCAGAGGAGGTTCAAAATGTACTTGGGAAAATGTGGCTTTTTGTTTGTTATATGCTCTTAGCATTTCCTTTATGTGTCAAAGGTAAAAACCTGTGTTCTGACTTCCTGATCTTTGTTTAATGAAGGGATACTAAATATATATACATATATATCTACATATATATACATATATATATACACATATATGTGTGTATATATATATGTGTGTGTATATATATATATATGTGTGTATATATATATATATATATATATATATATATATATATATATGTTTGTACATGTAAAAATATCTATTGCTTTTAAATTAGAAGACTATCCCCAAAGATTGATGTCAAAGAACTCAATGGTCCAGGCATTCATCTAAAGTGTCTTTTTAAATTGAATTGCTTTTTAAAAATATTTTGGTTATATATGGACATCTTCTAAATATGATCTTGCATAAGAAAAAAAATATGTTCCCCTTCTAAAGGTTACTTTTAAGTAATATTTATAGAAATAAAAAATAATATTTTGATATTTCTTAATGATANCATCTCAGGAAAAACTAACTCCGATTGTGCCCCAGTATCATTTAAAGCCATCTGCTTTCCTGAAATCCCGAAATAGCATAAATGAAATGGAGAGTGAAAGCCAGCCTGCCTCCGAAACAAGCTTGCTTCCGACTCCTGCCAAGACCATGAGTCAGGGTCACCAGGACGGTGCAGCCGAGCGTGGCCGCCCGAGCTGCAGCCCGGGCAGCACGGGGCAGGCAGATGCTGGGCCAGGCCCCGGGACTGCCCTGCTCCAGGAAACCCCCGGCCCTTCGCCTAGCAGGAAGCCACCCCCTATTTCCAAGAAGCCCAAACTGTTTCTAGTGGTGCCACCTCCGCAGAGAGATTTCACAGCGGAGCCAGCAGAGAACGTGAGCGAAGCGGCGTCCAACCCCACCAGGGGAGAGGCCAGAGAGAATTGTGCAGCCGGGACTGGTTCTGATGAGACCGACTCCGGCAGCTGGGTTCTGGAGGGAGGCGCTGCAGGATTCTCGTCCCCAGGCACAGTGGAAGCCAATGTCCCCATGGTGCAGCCTGCTGCCTCGCCAGCCCCCGAGCAGGAGGAGCCAGGCACCGAGAACAGTGCGGCCGGTGGAGGCAATGTGGAGAGCTGTCTGTCTCTGCAGGACCCAGGACGTGAGTGGTTTTCTCTCTTCTTCCCCTCCGACCATATGCAGCTGAGGTAAATAGGGCTGGTGCATGGTCACGTTCAAGCCAGCAGTCTGTGGACTTCCCGTGCTGCCTCACACTTAGGCTACCAACTTGGCATCCTGTGAATTAAAAAAAAAAAATCTAGATCTAAGGGTAGAACTTACAGAAGGGCAGAAAATAGAGAGGTGGGGTGGTCTGTAGCAGGCTGAGTGTTAAATAGCAGTCAATAATAATCTATCTCCTTTCTGGAATGCTGCAAAGATATGTTACAACACAATTTCAGAGATTTGTTAGGAGTTCTAGACTTAAAAGAGCTTTGCTCACGCTTCCTGCCTTTGTAAAAGATCCAGCTGCAG